GTGCAAACGGTCAGAAGAGTAATCGTAATTCAGGACTGCTGTCATGAGTCCTCTCCGTGTGCTGCTGTTTTTTTGGTTATATCAGGCGCATGTTTTCGCCACATCTCGAAACCGCCATCCTTTTCAAGTTTACGATGCACCTTTGCCATTTCACCCTTGACAAGGCCGACCAACATATAAGCAAGATTCGCCGCATGCTGTTCCACCGGTGCGGTCATTGATGGCAGTTCGATCGTCTCCTTTTTTTTGCGAGTTCCGCGTGTCCCAACATCTTGTTACTATTGTACTTGCGTAGTTTTCTTTGTGGAAGAACCGATCCGGCCAACCCGCAGCCTTGTCGGAAAACTCATTGACGCAATTTCCGAGAAGTTTCGTATCGACCATTCGTGTGCTATGTTTCATTCGTGATGTGTTTCGATTGTCATTTGCTTCGTTTGTGGGTCTATTGGTCGTGATTCGTTTGCCATGGCTCCGTTGCCATGAAAGAAGGAGGTGCTGTTTAATTAGGGTTTCGGGCTGAAGCGCTGCGGACATGGTCTCTGGTGCGACCTGCTCGTTTTGTTATCCCCAATCTGCTTGCGTTCCAACAGGAGGAGACATGAGGAGGAGGAGGAGGAGGAAAGAAGGAAGGGATGACGAGGAATGAATGAGGATGGTGATGATCAAGAGGATCAGTGTATACCCAAAACGCATCAATAGTGTTGCAGCGACCTCTCCCATCAAGCCCAACCCTGACGTAACATGGATGTTGCACGATCTGACGATCCTAAATCGTGCCAGAACAACATTCCGAGGACGTCAACACCGCGAATCAATTTGACTGTTACGGCTTGACAATCCTAACTCGTGCCAGAACAAAACTCATGGGATTTCACCCTTGCGAACCCTTTGAAGGTGCTGAACCATTTTCAAACGGATGCGCACGGCGCCAAAGCGATAATCACATGTTGAAGAAGAGCCGCTCTCCATCCTAGAAGTTGATGCACATTTTAATACGAGCGTGCGCGGCGTTAAGGCGAGAACCACATTCGAAAACGGTGCACCACATCTGCGAAAGTGCAAATGTTCGACACGACTGTGTGCAGCAGGCGCTAAGGCGAGACTGATTGTCTTGAATACGGCCCGCCCTCCATCCGTGAAACTGCAGCAAACTGTTATGACGAATGTGCGCGGCGCTAGGGCGATAACCATATTTTGAAAACGGCCCGACCTCCATCCATGAGACGATTGCAATTTTTAGGGCACATATGCGCGGCGCTAGGGCATAACCATATTTAATCGCTTCGCTCATTCCGCCGGCCCATATTGTCGCACCGTTGTGGGCTAGCCGAGTTTGGGGGCCTCTTGGGGGCCGTTTTTGGGCCTCTTGGGGCCTCTTTTGGGCCTCTTGGGCGCCTCTTGGGGCGTCTTGGGGGCCTCTTGGGGGCCTCTTGGGGCCTTTTTGGGGCCTCCGGGGCGCCTTCTGGGGCGGAGGGCTCGATTTTTCAGTTCTCGGTTCCCCTCTTGAGCCCCTCTTGGGCCCGTCTTGGGGCCTCTTGGTCCGTCTTGGGCGGCACTTGGGCCGTTTTGGGGGCCCTCCTGGGCCGTTCCGGGGCCGTCTTGGGAGCCTTGTGGGCCGTCTTGGATCCCCCCCCCCCCCCCCGGTCTTGGGGGCCTCTTGGGCCGTCTTGGAGCGTCCGGAAGCCGAAAAAGCAGCAGAACGCAAAAACAATTCGAATAAGCTTTCTGAACCGCCCAGACCCCCCAACCATATGCAATTGTAAAAGTGCAATTCGGAATATCTCTCGGGGAGCCCCCTACGGGCCAAGACACGGTGTACGAGGGGTGTGCCAAAATCTGTGTGCGGGACGCATGCGGGCATACCCACTGGGGCCTTCGGTGGAGCTCTCTATGGGGCCACGAAACGTGTGAGGGGTGTGCCGAAATGGGTGTGCGGGACGCATGCGGGCACACCCACTGGGACCTTCGGCGGAGCTCCCTATGGGGCCACGGAACGCGTGAGGGGCGTGCCGAAATGGGTGTGGCTGACGCATGCGGGCGCGGGCACTGGGCCTTCGGTGGCGGAAGCTCCCTAGGGGGCCACGAAACGTGTGAGGGTGCTTGATGCCGAAAAAGGTGTGGCTGACGCATGCGGGCGCGGGCACTGGGGCCTTCGGCGGAGCTCCCTATGGGGCCACGAAACGTGTGAGGGGTGTGCCGAAATGGGTGTGGCTGACGCATGCGTGCGCGGGCACTGGGGCCTTCGGTGGAGCTCCCTATGGAGCCACGAAACGTGTGAGGGGTGTGCCGAAATGGGTGTGGGGGACGCATGCGGCCGCGGGCACTGGGGCCTTCGGTGGAGATCCCTATGGAGCCACGAAACGTGTGAGGGGTGTGCCGAAATGGGTGTGGGTGACGCATGCGGCCGCGGGCACTGGGGCCTTCGGTGGAGCTCCCTATGGAGCCACGAAACGTGTGAGGGGTGTGCCGAAAGGGGTGTGGGTGACGCATGCGGCCGCGG